TGTGTGTTGGGAGAATGGAGAGAAAAAACCCCGAGCCGAGCCGCTTTCGGCCCCTGCGAGGCGGCCGCGGCCTCCGCCGGGGGAGCCCACCCTGAGGCGTGCCCGACCGAGGAGCGAGCGAGCGAGCGCGCGGGCCGGAGCGAGCCTCGAGGGGCTGCGGCCCCGGCCCGCCCCGCCGCCGGCCCGGGCGTCCGAGCTGGAGGCGGCAGAGGCACCCCCACCCCCACCCCGCGCAGCGCCGCCCGCCACCGCCGCTCCCTCCCCTCCCGCCCCCGGCGGAGGCCGAGGGACGGGGCGGGGGGGCTCCCGCAGGTAACCGCCGCCCGGGCCGGGGGAGGGGTCAGCCCGGGGCGGGCCGAGCTGTCTGCCCTCGCGGCCGGCGCAGGGCTCCTTGCCTGGCTGGACCTGGGAGAGGGAGCCCCCGGAGTCCGCGCCGGGGCCGGGGGTGATGAGGGCACTGTCCCGGCCCGGGACTGCGGGGAACTGGGCCCGGCCTAGCCCGGGGCGAGGGGTCGGGCGGCGCCGGGACAGCCCGAGGGTGCGGGGAGGAGTACCTGCTCGTCGCGGCCTTGGGTGCAAAAGCGGCGGGTGTGAACGGGCGGCTCCGGGGGGCTGCGGGGTGCGCGCCACAGCCGGGGCCCGCGACCGTCCCGGGGGGACCCGAGGCGCTTCGCTGCGGGCCGGAGGCGAGGCCGGCGGGGCGGAGGGCCGGGCGGGGAGGGGCCGCGCGGGAGGGAGCCGCGCCGGGGCGCCCGGGAGTCGGAGCGCGGGCCGCGGCCCTGGAACACCTGAAGCCATGTGGACGCGGCTGCTGCTCGCCTGCTGGCGGCGGAGGGCAGGTACCCGCCGGGGCGCGAGCTTCGGGCGCAGGACACACTTCCTGTGGCTCTCCCGGCTCCGCCGCCGCGGGCTCTGCGAGCGGGATCGTTCGCGGACCTGCGGCTTGAGCGCCTCATCCCTCCTCTCGGGGCCGAGCGGTGGTCGAGGGCGAGTTGCCGACCCGCTCGGGCTGCGGCGGGAGGTGGAACGTCGGGGGTGCGCCGCGGTGGGAGTGGAATTCGGTGCGTTGGGGGGGCGGTGGCGAGGAGCGGCCGCCCTCCTGGGTCTGTGGGTGGGGGCTTCGGCTCTGTCTCTATCCTTCCCTGTGGTTTGCCCTTAGGGGACAGGTCAAAATTAGTATCTCTCCCTTTCCTCTGCTTTCCTTTGCCCTAGGAGATTAGATGACTCTGGTAAATGCTGTAAAATGGATGGAATTTTTGAGCTATTGTCTAACTGGCTGATCTTTGGATGATAATTGGACCCTTATGTTAACAGCCTCAGTGAAGAGTGAAGAGTTTTATAAAACATCCTCACGTGGGGTGGCAGCTTGGTGAATGCGAAACCACTGAATTCCCACCTGGGAGACCAGGACTCTGCTTCCAGCTTTATCACCAAATAAACTGCTACCCAGGGCAAGTGACCGCCCCTCCCAAGGCCCCCTGTTTCCCCATTCGTTGAATGCCTCGGTTGGCGTTATTTCGTTTTGTTTTGGGGGCTTGCCTGTTTTGTGCTTTCATTTGTCCATAGGTAACTTTTCGAGAAATACTAGCTCTACCTAACCTGGCTTTGAAAAAACCGGCCCTTTAGCTTCCAGCCTCTTTTCCACCAGAGCGTAAAAGTTGGCCAGGGTAGGCTTTCCTCAAATCCCAGGTGCTGTTCTGTGCTTCAGAACAGAAACTGTACAGTATTGTTATTCTCTTCTATGCCAAGTCCGCCTTATATATTTTTTCTTTATGAAAGAGTTTTCAGAAAAAAAATTCAGAGTATGTTTGAATACTTTGCAAGTGTGGCTAGTGTGCAACAGGGGCTTTGTATGTTCGAAGATCTTTCTTTGCTGGGGATTGTAGAGACATCTTATTTAAAGTTCTTTCAGTGGGACATTTGGCTAGCTTTTGAAATTTCCAGCTTTGGTATTCTCAGTCGGGGTGAAGTAGACATCCATAAAAATCTCCTGTGAAATGGTAGGCTAGAGGAATTAACTGTCACCTCAGGGTGCACTAATTATTTGCATCCCCGATTTATCCCTTAATGGTAGCAAGATGCCGCCTCACAGATGCTGAAGAACCCCAATTAGTTTCACTTATTTTATGG